CCCCAAAACCCCAAAACCCCAAAACCCCTTTTAATAATATAAAATTTGAAATAACAACGAATGTCTGTATACAATGGCTTCGTAAGCAGAGCAATAGAGACTTCATACATGAAAGCCCTTTACAATATGACTTTCCTCCTGCAGTTACAGCTCACTAAGTTCCTCCAAAAAGGTAATGTCAAGTCAAATTAGAGATAATAGATAGTCAAGGTTTATGAAAAATTCATCCAAAATTTATCTGTTCAGGTTTTAAAGCTCAATCTTAGTATCGCAATTAAAGGCAGATAGAGAAACACTTGGTCAGAAGTAATTTCTGGACCTCAAAATTGTTGTATCTAGATGACAAATGCTCCTCAGAAATTTTATACTTAGGAAGAAAGATTTGGAGCATTTATGCTTGATAATGCTCTATAAAATTCTAAATAATACAGAATATGCTTTAATACATGTTTAAAACCTGTTGCTAATTACATTTGTAGATACTCCGATTCGTGAAGAAAATTTCAAACAACACTTTGAAAAACTGTATCAGAAAATAGTTGCTCTTGATAATAAATAAATATCAACCTCCCAAATACTCATATTCACTGAAGAACTTAGCGAAACATTTCAAGGTATATTAAAGTTTACCAACTTTGGGCTTGTAAATTCAACGGAAATGCCTATACTAAATCAGTTATGAAGGCCTAATGAAGTCTAAAATGCTTATAGGTGTACCAACCAGATGCAATAGAGCCTATCCCAAGCACTAAGAACTCCTTCAGCTCATCATTTTCCAAGCTGAACCAGACAGAGAGTTTTCCGTCCCATCGGCTATCTCTCGACCCGAACAAATACTCTAAACTAAGCCCAGTTAGGAAGTAAGTTGGCTAATTTCCCTGTACTTGCTCAATTTTAATTCGAAATCCAGATTTATACTAGGTTTAGGGAGAAGAACCGGAATTCAAAAAGCAGTAAAAGGTAGTCGTGATAAGTAATCCGGCATAGGTACAGACATGAGGCACCCAAGATGTATAAGTAACGGTAAATTACTTCAGTGAAGGTCTAGATGGCTCTAAGAAGGTCTCAATATCTCAAGAAATCAGCCAGTTCCTTAAGAAAAATAGTAAGATTGGCTGTGGAAGCATGAGTCCGGCAAACCAGAACTCTCAAGGCAAAGGAAATATTAAGAGAGGCTGAAACTTGATCCTGCTCAATTCTAGTAATGAGAGTAAGTTATCAAGCCCTTTCTGTTTTGATCAGATTTTGTAGCTAAATTTGCTTGTCCGAAACTTTATTGATGGGTTCTTTCTACTTATTATGCTCCAAAAATGGCTGATTATTATGCCAAGAATAAATCCTAAGCCACCTTACTTGGGTCATAATTTTTTAAACCTTTTAGGACCTATTTAAAACTCAGCATAATCCAAGGAGAAAGAACAGGCCTCAGAAACTGAATAAGACAGCTAGCAATGCGAAAAGGATTGAAACTCCCCTCAGATTAGAGGTAATTATCAACAATAGAAATGGTTAGATAGCAAGTTTATCATTGTGAAATCAATTAAAAGACCTTTACCATCAAATATGCAACTTTTATTTAAGTGGGAATATGATATATTTTTAGTGCTTATTCTCTCTAGGGATAATTTGAAAGACTACTAGGTTCTGAGTCAAAATCATTCCTTATCATTCTAAAAATATAGTCACATCCTTTCAGAGTATCTCGGGAGTTTCTAAATCTGAGCTCAAACTTTGATCCTCCAGTGCTACCCTTGCATACTGTTACTAAAAAGGTACTTTAACACCATATCTGATGGACTAACTGAAATAGAGGAAAATCAAGCATCCAAATAGACAGAACTTCAAAGGACAAGGAGAGTCTAGTCAGCTTAGGAAGAACCTGGCCCTTGATAGTTCTTTTGGAGGGATAAACCAAAACTTTATGACTACAGGCGTCCAAAAGATCGATATCTTAGTGAACGTACTCAAGCGGTAAGTTTTTGTTGAGACTTATAGTGACATGATGCTCAACCAGTAGAGTTTTCGGATAATCAAGATCACATTATGCAACATGCTAATTCAATTATACGATTCTCGTAGGGGTTTTGGGGTTTTGGGGTTTTGGGGTTTTGGGG